ATGCGGCGCTCAGCAATCCCATTTTGCTGTGGAGAGTCCGGAAGCGTGAAGGTCTGGCGGATCCCCCGTGCACGACAGTAGTCTCGCAGAAGGCGAGAGGAGAACTCTCCGCCTCTGTCCGAGTGCAGACGCAGAACAGGAAAGTCCGAGCCGAAGCTCTTCCTGAGCTGGAGACGAGCCTCGCGGATCCAGTCGATCAGCACCTCAGTGACCGCACCCTTGCTGCGCAAGGGGAGGACTGTGGTGTAACGCGAGTAGTCGTCAACCACCAACAGGAAGTAGCGCTCGTGATCCTGCCCACGGACGGGGGCTGGGCCCCACACATCCATGTGAAGCGTCTGCAGGGGAGCCTCTGTCGGGGGGAAGTGAGAGGAGTGAGGAGTAGCCCGGAGGCGACCCTCGACACAGGGGACACAGGACGGTCCTGGCCCGGAGGGGAGAGGAGGAAGAGACCGGGGAAGACCAGAGACAAGGACACGGGAAGCCATGCTCCGAAGACGGGGCAAGGACGGGTGGCCAAGACGGTGGTGCCACAGGAGAGTCTCGTGAGACAGGAGGCGACACGAACAGGGGGCAGACTCAGGACCTGACTGGGACGCAGCAGTAAGCACCGGACCTGACGGAGCTACCTGACCGGACGCAGGGACAGGAGGAGACGAGGTGGTCAGGGTGTAAAGACTCGACCCCGGCCTACGTGAGAAGGTGGCCAGGTGTCGGCCTGTGCGTGCGTCCGTGCAGTGGGTCACCCGCTCACTCGCTGGAGTAAACTGGTGAACCCCCACATCCTGGAGGTCCGCACCACTCACCAAGTTCGTAGAGAATGAGGGAAGGTACAGACCAGACAGGGTGCCCGAAGGGGCAGCCGGACACGGGAGGACAGTGGAGAAGTGAGAAAGGACAGGACCCCCAGAGGGGTCAGCCAAGGAGACCGCAACCGGCCGGCCAAGTGGCGTGAGGGTGGTGCGGTCTCGAAAGAAGGAGCGAGAAGCCCCATAGTCAAGTGAGAAAGTGAGGGAGGACGAGGGAGACGCAGTACCTGAGAGCGCAGTCTCACCAGTACCTGAGAGCGCAGACGCAGTGGCACCTAGAGCAACAGCCTCACAAGCACCTAGCGCAGTAGTACCAATGCCCGGGTCAGGCTGGAAACACCGGTAACCCTCATTCTCCTCACTAATAGACACGGCATACATAGCAGCAAGGATAGCATCATAATCAAGATCAAAGATCGCTACACCAGCCCTAAGAAGCTCATCCCAGCGAGGGATCTCACTAGCCCCAGGGAACTGCCGACGCCAAGCGTCCGTCAGGCTTCCAAAGCAGCGCTGGGCGGGGTGGGCACCCCCACACTGCTCACCCGCGCGGTCGCTGGAACGAAGGACGTAGGTGCAAGGACTAGTACCCCCACCCCTCTGACGCTGAGTGTACCAGTCACGGAGCTGCTGAGGCGGAGGGATGTCCCGCGACCGCTGCTGCTGCTGCTGCTGCGAGCGCTGGCCACCACCACCGCTGCTCCGCTACTGGGTACCACCCCGACCAGCTCCGCCCCCTCCACCACCACCGCCTCCTCCGCCGCCCCCTCCGCTGCTGCCACCACCACCACCGCTGCCGCCACCACCGCCGCCTCCGCCGCCGCTGCCACCACCACCACCACCCCCGCCACTACTCCCGCCGCCACCCCCACTCCCTCCGCCGCCTCCACCGCCACCTCCACCGCCCCCTCCAGCTCCACCCGCGCCCTTGCCCCCCTTGCCCTTGCCAGAGCGACGTCGCCCACTAGGGGCAGACGCCGCGCCGACCGACTCAAGACCAAGCAGGTCGGCAGCAGCAGCAGAGGCAATCGAGGGCAGCAAGGGGGAAGGAGAGCACCCCTCAAAGATGGGGGTGCGAGGGTCACCACGAGAGGCTCCTACAGCGACTATGCTCTTCTCCGCTGAGAGGAGGGCCTTCTCGAGGACGTCGACGGTGAGGGTGGTGGGACAGACTGCGAGAAAGTGGTCCCTGACTACACAAAGGGAGTCAGGGAGGCGCGCGACTACGTAGTAGAGAGTGATGTACATGGGGGGGGGGTTCTTAGCGCAGAACTCAGCAGGAAGGGCGGCGCGGTAGCGAGTGTCACTAGTGCGGAGGTGCGTAATGAGGTCAGCGACAGTGGGAAAGGCTGAGAGGTCAGGAAAGAGGTAGGGAAGCATGAGACGGCTCAGTGCAGCAGTGGCAGGGGAGGAGTAGCGTGCAACTACAGCATCGTACAAGGTCTGAGCACTCTTGTACTGACTAAAGTGCGCGCGCTCAGAGGTAGGGAGGTGACGACGCACAGCAAGACGTGCAGCAGCATCGCGGGTGGCCCACTGAGAGCGCACAGTGGGATCAGCATCAGCAGCAGGGGCAGGAGATGCGCTAGAAGTGAGGTCAAAGAGAGAGAGGCCGTCTGCCCTATCACACTGTAAAAACAGCTGCAGGTCATCGACCCAGACCTCAAAGTCAATGGCGCGACCCTCAGCGTCAAAAGCTAGGACACTAGGGGTAGCCATGACGACGACAGTGACGCAGTGCAAGCAGTAGGGGAAGAGCACGCAGTGACATTGGGACTGTGCTCACCAGGCAGGGCAGGCTGGGCAGCTCTGCAGAAAGGCGGCTCGGCGACCGGGCGGCTCGGGTGCAGGGCGGCTCGGCTCCCGGGCGGCTCGGCAACAGGGCGGCTCGGGTGCAGGGCGGCTCGGCTCCCGGGCGGCTTTGCGGCAGGGCGGCTCGGCTGCACTGCTGCTCGGCTGCTGCAGGTGGGCGGCTTGGCTGCTGCAGGTAGGGTGGCAGGGCCGCTAGAGAGACGGGGCGGGGCCGCGTTAGAGCCGGCGGCGGGGCCGCGTGAGAGCCGGGGCGGGGCCGCGTGAGAGCCGGGGCGGGGCCGCGTCAGAGCCGGCGGCGGGGCCGCGTGAGAGCCGCGACGGGGCCGCGTGAGAGCCGGGGCGGGGCCGCGTGAGAGTCGGCGGCGGGGCCGCGTGAGAGCCGGGGCGGGGCCGCGTCAGAGCCGGCGGCGGGGCCGCGTAAGAGCCGGCGGCGGGGCCGCGTGAGAGCCGGCGACGGGGCCGCGTCAGAGCCGGGGGCGGGGCCGCGTGAGAGCCGGGCGGGGCCGCGTGAGAGCCGGGGCGGGGCCGCGTCAGAGCCTGAGGCGGGGCCGCGTGAGAGCCGGGGCGGGGCCGCGTTAGTGGCAGGCGGCGGGGCCGCGTCAGAGTCTGCGGCGGGGCCGCGTTAGAGCCGGCTGCGGGGCCGCGTAAGAGCCGGCGGCGGGGCCGCGTCAGAGCCGGCGGCGGGGCCGCGTAAGAGCCGGGGCGGGGCTGCGTGAGAGCCGGTGGCGGGGCCGCGTGAGAGCCGGGGTGGGGCCGCGTCAGAGCCGGCGGCGGGGCCGCGTGAGAGCCGGGGCGGGGCCGCGTGAGAGCCGGTGGCGGGGCCGCGTCAGAGCCGGCGGCGTGGCCGCGTCAGTATAGGCGGCGGGGCCGCGTCAAGAAAGGCGGCGGGGCCGCGATCAGGAGGGGTGGCGGGGCCGCGTCTGAGGGACAGCGGGGCCGCGAGGGAAATGGCGACCCGAGGGGTCGCTAAAAAATGCGCGCCTCGGGGCGCGCTTCGGTGGGCCCTAGAAAAAAAAACGGTCCTTAGGAAGGACCCGCTCTATACCATGTGAAACAAGTAAACAGGGAATGAAATGACGAAGTCAGAGTTGGGTACAAATACAACCCTAGAAAGGCTGTACCCCATATGTGCTACCCCACTATAGCCTACAAACATGCATCAGCTATAGTAATCTGACAAACAGCCCCAACGTCGTGAAATTCTCGCCTTCGTCTAGCTGGACTCACCAGTTCAGGGCACTTCACTGGCAAGAACACTTGACAGATCATGGTACAGTACACACTGGCCTTGTTCTCTGGCGCTAACTCATAGTTAGCTAACTCTGAGTTACCGAGCCGTGTAGGTTTGGGTGAGTACACCGACAATTGATCATTACGCTCGTGTGAGTGTTGGAGTTGTAACTCACCTTGGTGTTCTGTGGCCTCATAACTCAGAGTTAAGGAAGTTCCAGGGGCGTTCTCGAATTTGTTCTGGTTAAACTTTTAGTCTCAACCCGAAGTGCCACCCCTTCCGAAAAAAACTGCGCGAAAGGGTGACCACGAGGCAAAATAATTCAACTTCACGCAGCATAGCATGGGGACTAGTTGGAAAGAACCAAATGTGGGCATTGTCGAGGTAGCCCCTCTCGAGCCGTACTCAGAGTCGTGCAGCCAACTTTCACCCAAAAGCCCGAGTAAGGGAAAGCGCTAACTCTGAGTTAATTTGCCAGTGAGAGAAGATTCAATGTATGCTTCCCACGAAGCGGACTCTGAGTTATAGCTTCATGTATGTGGAACCCTTATTTGCTAACTCTGAGTTAGCTGGCACGATGTGATTGTAGCGTTCACACGTGTAAGGCCTGAGTTATTGAAGCCACCACAAACCCAGTCAACTCTGAGTTAAGGAGCCACATAACAAGGCCACTGAAGTGACGTTGCACCTCCAATGCCCCTATGCGCGCCTCCCCTTGTGGTCGTTAGCGGCTCCATACGCGCCGTAACAGTAACCGCTGTTACTATGTCTGTCCATTCACGCAGCAGGCGCCGGGTCAGAACGCGCCTCGTACTCCGCGTGCATCCCTTCAAGAAATCTACTTCCGCTCAGCCTTAGACCATCCTAATCTCCCGTCAACCAAGTCAACGTTCCGAACGTGGAGAAAACCCGATCATGCCGCTACTGTACTCAACATCACAGGTACTACTCCAATATATACTCGACCTTTCTCGATCTCGCTCAGACAATTCGTGCAACAACGCCCAGGCATTAGTACCAGTAACACAAGCGCCGGGAGTGCTCGAGTTTTCGCCCCCGTAGGGACTATATACTTGTAGTGATATTTCCGCTTCTCCAATCGTACACTCTCATTTTCACAAATAGTATTTCCATTCTCACACAACATTATGACGCCATTCCCTCGCGCCCTCCCGTTCCCCCTCCCCGTCCCCCCGCGCCTTGCCCTCGTCGCCCTCCTCGCGCTCCTCCGCCAGGCGAAAACCTACACCGAGCCGCCGATCCCCGACGGGTGCATCGCGGAGATAGCGGAGGTCGACCGGGAGGCCATGCGCGCGGTGTACGCGGCGCTTCCGGAGAGGTTGTTATTCTGGCACGACGGCATTCCGCAGTACAAGCTATTCGACGACAGCCACAACGTCTCCTACTGCTGCGTCGCGCCCAAGCCCGCTGGTGTGTCGTGCTACCTCTGGTGCCCGCTCGAGTGCACGCCCGCCGGTCGCATCACGCGCATCTACTCCGAACCGAGCCGCGAAGATATGCCCGTGCAGAGCGGGAGCGGAGGGAGCTGCCCACCCGGCGCGCTGTCGCCCGCCATTGGCAATCTCGCGGAGCTCTCCTCGCTGGTCTTCCGCCACTCGTGCCTCACCGGCGACCTGCCGGACTCCGTCACGCGCCTCCAGAAGCTGACGGAATTTCAATTGCCCGAAAATAACTTCTCCGGGCCCATTCCGCCGGGCCTCTTCCGCCTGCCCGCGCTCGGCCACGTGGACCTCTGCATGATTAGTCCCTACCCGTACTTTGAAGTTGAATCTGAAGGCCTTTCGGGGTCCCTTCCCAACGGGCTCGACGTGTACTCCCCGTCACTGGAAACGGTCATCCTGTGCGGCAACGCGCTCTCGGGGGAGTTTCCGCGCGCCTGCGCTGCGCTGGTTGAACCTGCAGAGCAACAATTTCACGGGGGAACTCCCGGGGGGAACGGGCGCGTATTCGCCCAGCATTACCGCGCTCATCCTGCGCAACAATGGCCTGTCCGGCGCTATTCCGCCCCCGCTGGCGGAGATGAGTGCGCTACAAAACCTCGACCTAGGGGAGAACCGCCTATCCGGTGCGGTGCCTGCGGCGCTGCGCGACTCCGAATCGCTCAAAGCGCTCGACGAGGTGCGGCTCGACGACAACGCGCTCACCGGGCCTTTCTGCGATGCGCTGCTGCCGGCGCGCGAGCTCTGGCTGGGCTTCAACGACCTGGGCGGCTCGACCGCCAGGAGCAGCGCTAGCGCCACCGGCGGCGGCGGAGGGGGCGGCGGAGGTGAGGAGGAGGAGGAGGGGGGCTCTCTGCACGGCTGGTGCTGCCCGCAAAGCTAGAGATTCTTAGCGCGCCGCACGCGGGGCTGCGGGGGAGCGTTCCGCCGGACCTGTTCCTGGCGACAAACGCGCTGTCCGGGCGCAGGCCCTCCATGGGTGGCTTGGGCAGGATCATCCAGATCGACCTGAGCCACAACAGCCTCTCGGGCAACCTGAAAGCTTTCACGGTGCTTTCGTCTGGGAGTTTGGATCTGTCGCACAACTTCTTCTTCGGCGGTATTCCCGAGACGTTTTTCAGCGGCGTCTTCTCATGCGCGGACCTGCGGTTAAATGAGCTGTCAAGGCCGCTGTTTGACACGCGCCGAGAGGCATGCAATTACGACTGGGACGTGCTGCGCGTGAGCGGCAACAACGCGCGCATGGCGGGCACCGAAAGCGCGGGGTACCTCCCCGTGCCGGCGCCGGGCGTGCACACGTCCGCTGCAGAGACTGAGGCGCTCCTGGCCGTGCGCGATGCGCTCCTGGGGGAAGCAGCGGAGGGAACGGTGTTGGCGGATGGCGAAAGCAGCTCGTGGGCGGAGATACTGCACAGCTGGGTCGCGAGCAGCAGCAGCGCGTGTGCGTGGTACGGCGTGGGATGCACAGCAGACGGACACGTGCACACGCTGCACCTGATAGGCAACACTTACGACTTTTTGCACCACGACGTGGTCCCAAAAACTCCCCCTTGCGAATACGACCAGTACGGATTCAAGACGTGCGGGCACGCGGATATGGCGCCTCTTTGCAAATTGCGGTTCTTCCTGCGGGGCCTTCCTGGCGGCAGCTCGAACAGCAATGCGAGCGGGAGTCTGTCGGAGGCGTTGGGGCAGCTGACGCACCTCACCTCGCTGCGAATCTCCGGGTACGTTCTCTCCGGCGGCCTGCCGCCATCCCTCTCGCGCCTCTCACGACTCGTAGCGCTCGACCTCTCCTCCAACCGCCACCTCTCCGGTTCCATCCCCCCCGCCCTCTTCACTCTCCCCTGGCTGCGAGAGCTCACCCTCCGCGAGAACAACCTCACAGGAGAGGTCCTCCCGACCACCACTGCAGCAGCAGCATCAGCAGCCGCCGCACTGTCGCCGAGCTTGGAGAGTCTAGACGTGGGGTCTTCTGGCGGGGCTGACGCGCCTGGCGTTGGACCACAACCGGGTGGACGGCAGCTTGCCAAGGAAGCTCGGCGCGCTCTGGATGCTCACAGACCTGCACCTGCAGGGGAACGCCCTCCAGGGGGACGTCTCTGCACTCGCTGCCGCCTTCCCCCCCCCTGCTGCTGCTGCTGCTGCCTCCAGTGCACCTGTCCTGTGGGGCCTTCGCGGGGTGTTCCCACTGCTGACCCGTGTGCACGTCAGCAGCAATGAGGTCTCGGGCGACGCAGCCGGGCTCTTCCCTCTCTCCCAAGGACTCCTCATGCTCAACTTGTCGAACAAACGCCTCACGTGGGGCCCCGGCAGCAACGCCTCCTGGCACGGCTACTGCCTGGACCTCTCACACAACCGCATCATCACCCCATTGCAGGACCTCTTTGGGAATGACGACGGCCTCTGGTCGACAGTGCTGCTCTTGTCACACAACCAGCTCTCGGGACCCATCCCTGCCACGCTCCTGCGAGACAAAGTGCAAGGACATCTGGACCTCTCCCACAACCTGCTCACAGGTTCAATTCCTGCCATTGACAATTTATACTCCATGAAGACGCTCGACCTGTCGTACAACCAGCTCTCCGGCACCATTCCCAAGCTGGATGGCTCCCTGATAACATGTGACTTGTCCCACAACCAGCTATCCGGGAAAGTCCCGCCGGCGCCACCTGCATTGATGCATCTAAACGTGAGCTGGAACCAGCTTGACGGGTTTGCCCGGTGGCAGTACCAAGAGGGTACGGGGTTGAGAATTCTGGACGCGTCTCACAATGCCATGGCTGGAAATCTGCCGGATTTGGGCAACAGTGATGGGCTTATGAGCCTGAATCATCTGGACCTCTCCTACAATGCGTTTACTGGCACTCTTGCAGAAAAGACTTATCCGTTCTTGGAGCAAGCGACAAGCTCTACAGGAAGTGTGCAAAGTAGGTGCGGGGTAGTGGTTCGACTGAGCCACAATAGGCTCACTGGAAGCATCCCTACTTTCGTCTTCTCCTCGTGCCCCATACTGATCGACCTCTCACACAACCAGTTCTCTGGCCCCATCCCAGTCCCTCCCCAAGGGAACAGCCAGAGCTTCTCACTCGAGTTTTTCTCCCACTTGGACCTCTCTTCCAACAAGCTCACAGGAAGCATCTCTGATGCTCTTGTCACCGGCCTCACAGCCCTATCCCACTTGGATCTCTCCGACAACCTGCTCTCGGGCTCGCTGCCCTGCTCCCTCGCTGCTGTCCCCCCCCTCACCCATCTGGACCTCTCTCGCAACAAGCTCAAAGGCTCCCTACCTGCCTTCTGCCAGGGCAAGCAGCGCCTCGCCTCTCTCCTCCTCTCCTCCAACGCTTTCTCCGGCCCCCTCTCCTCCCTCCTCCCCTCCTCCTCCTCCTGCGCCTCCTCCCTGCTCTCCCTCAACGTCTCCACCAACCAGCTCTCCGGCTCGCTCCCCTCGTCCCTCTCGCGCTTCACCGCTCTGCACTCCTTACTAGCGGCGCGCAACCGCATGAGCGACAGCATCCCTGTAGGGCTGGCGTCCCTGAAGGCCCTGCAGGAGCTGGACATGTCGTGGAGCGGGCTGTCAGGCACCATCCCTGCGCTGCTGCGTGCTGCTGCCCCCTCCCTGCAAGTGCACCTCGCTGGCAACGCCCTCTCTGGCTCTGTGGCCCCCCTCTCTCTCCGACCTGCCCACCTCCTGCTTCCGCCCCGGCAACCCCAAGCTCTGTGGGAAGCCCCTGCCTGACTGCAAGAAGCGCTCCTCCAAGCCCAGGAAGGGGAGGTTGTAGGGTCTGGCGAGGCGGGAGGACTCTGCGCATCTTCTGTGTTAATGGGAACCTGCCTGTGGGCTGCAGGCAAGGCGCCCACTGTTATCCGTTCCCTAGTGTACCTGCACATCATAGAGGGTGACTAGTTTGATCAATAGTAAACTTAAAAATAATCTCTGTTGTTTTGGACATCCCATATTACACCAGCAACCTCATTCACTAGCAACAGAGTTAGGGTTTGGGAGGCGAGGGGAAAGGAAGGGATGGGCATGTAGGAAAGGGAAGGGAAGGATATAAGAGAACGGCACTGCAATCTGCTCCATGCAGCACACTCCCTTTGTCTTGCAATGGTGTCGATTCTGCCTCTACAAACTGCGGCCCATCACTTCAATCGGCCAGAATTAGACGTATGGACCACCTTTGCAACACTCAACAAACGCGACTGAGATGCCTTGGTGATCCGATTTGAAGGCTCCACGATCTCTATCCTTGACTTACCCATAGCCGCCCTAAAAATGATACTTGGGTTTAGCTCTTGCAGTAGAAAACCCTCTTTTGTTTCAACAAGGGTCCCCAAAACTGGACTTGGTCCTGTATTCTGGTCACTCTTTTTTTTTTTTTTTTTAATTGTCCAAAACTGATACGTATTTGAGGCGCATGCAAACACACATTCCACTGTTGGCAATAAATTTTGACTCGTGTAGCGTGCGACTCGGGAGACATTAACGAGGATCCCGCCGCATGCTGTGGGTCTAACGAACAAACAAAGCTCTCGAGGACAGTTCAGTACAGACTGCAACATAATCCAACCTGGGGAAGGCACCTGGAATGCGACATGCGTCTCGGCGGGAATTCACCGTCTTCACCCATTTACCCCACCCAACCACTGCCATTGCCACCATTCCTCCCTTCCTCCATCCCTAGATCCTGCCTGACTCAGTTCCCTCCCCCACCTCCGTCTCTTTACTCTTCTGTTCCTCCTCTTTCTCTCCAAGTCGTGCCGTGTCTTCCGCCTTCGCTGCTGCTCTCACACCTTCGACAAACCTATGGCCTGGTTCGTTGGTGCCTGTTTCACGACGTCGTCACAACGACGTCGTGAAATTCTCGCCTTCGCCTAGCTGGACTCACCAGTTCAGGGCACTTCACTGGCAATAACACTAGACAGATCATGGTACACACTGTAGTGACGTTGCACCCCTATTCGCGCCTCCCCTTGTGGTCGTTTGCGGCTTCATGCGCGCCGCAACAATACCCGCTGTTACTATGGCTGTCCATTCCCGCAGCAGGCGCCGGGTCAGAACGCGCCTCGTACTCCGCGCGCATCCCTTCAGCCAATCTACCTCCGCTCAATCCTCGTCCGCCTTAGACCATCCTGATCTCCCGTCAACGAAGTCAACGTTCCGAACGTGGGAGAAAACCCGATAATGCCGCTACTATACTCAACGTCACAGGTACTACTCTTCCATTATATACTCGACCTCCCTCCAGTTCGCTCAGAAAATCCGTGCATCAACGCCCGGGTTTGGTACCAGTAATACAAGCGCCGGTAGTGCTCGAGTTGTCGCCCCCGTAGGGACTACATACTTCTAGTGCTATTTCCGCCTCTCCAATCGTACTCTCTCATTCTAATCCGCACATTTCCAGATTCTCACACAGCATTATGGCCTCATTCCCTCGCGCCCTCCCGTTCCCCCTCCCCGTCCCCTCACGCCTTGCCCTCATCGCCCTCCTCGCGCTCATCGCGCTCCTCCGCCAGGCGGAAGCCTACACCGACCCGCCGATCCCCGACGGGTGCGTCACGGAGATAGCGGAGGTGGACCGGGAGGCCATGCGCGCGGTGTACGCGACTCTGCCCGAGAATATGTTCTGGCACGACGGCATTCCGCAGTACAAGCTGTTCAACGACAGCCACAACATCTCAATCTGCTGCGTCGTGCCCGCTGGTGTCTCGTGCCCCCTCTGGTGCCCGCTCAAGTGCACTCACGCCGGCCGCATAACGGGCATTTTTTACGACCCGAGCCGCCAAGACATGCTCGGGCCCGGCGGGAGCGGAGGGAGCTGCCCGCCCGGCGCGCTGTCGCCCGCCATTGGCGATCTCACGGAGCTGTCGTTCCTTTTTTTCCGCAACTCGTGCCTCGCCGGCGACTTGCCGGACTCCGTCACGCGCCTCCAGAAGCTGACGAGTTTTGAAATGCCCGAAAACAACTTCTCCGGGCCCATTCCGCCTGGCCTCTTCCGCCTGCCCGCGCTCCGCCACGTGGATCTGGGCACAATCCGCGCTCCGCGCTACTTTCAATACCGGGAACTTCAGCCTCAACCTCAATATAAAGGCCTTTCGGGGTCCCTTCCCGACGGGCCCGACGCGTACTCCCCGTCGCTGGAAACGGTCATCCTGTCCGGCAACGCGCTCTCGGGGGAGCTTCCGCGCGCCCTTCTCTGCGCGCCCGCGCTGCGCCGGTTGGACCTGCAGAGCAACAATTTCACGGGGGAACTCCCGGGGGGAGCGGGCGCGTATTCGCCGAGCATTACCGCGCTCATCCTGCGCAACAACAGCCTGTCCGGCGCTGTTCCGCCCGCGCTGGCGGAGATGACGGCGCTACAGAAACTCGACCTGGGGAAGAACCGTCTATCCGGCGCGGTGCCCGCGGCGCTGCGCGACTCCGAATCGCTCAAAGCGCTCGACGAGGTGCGGCTCGACAGCAACGCGCTCACCGGGCCGTTCTGCGACGCGCTGCTGCCGGCGCGAGGGCTCTGGCTGGGCTTCAACGACCTGGGCGGCGCCAGTGGCGGGAGCAGCGCCAGTGGCGGCGGCGGAGGTGAGGGGGAGGAAGGTGGGGGCTCTCTGCACGGCTGCGTGCTGCCCGCGAAGCTAGATATTCTCTGCGCGCCCCACGTGGGGCTGAGGGGGAGCGTTCCGCACGACCTGTTCCTGGCGACGAACGCGCAGACGGGGCGCAAGCCCTTCATGGGCGGCTTGGGTAGGATTATCCAGATCGACCTGAGCCACAACAGCCTCTCGGGCAGCCTGAAGGCTTTCATGGTGCTTCCGTCCGGGGTCTTGGACTTGTCGCACAACAACTTCTCCGGCAGTATTCCCGAAACGTTTTTCACCGAATTTTCGCGCGTGGACCTGCGGTTTAACGAGCTGTCGGGGCCGGTGTTTGACGCGCGCCGGGAGGCGTCGAATCGGCATTGGAATTACGACTGGGACAGGCTGCGCGTGAGCAACAACAGCGCGCGCATGGCGGGCGCCGTGGGCGCGGGGTACCTCCCCGCGCCGACGCCTGGCGTGCAGGCGTCCGCTGCGGAGACTGAGGCGCTGCTGGCGGTGCGCGATGCTCTCCTGGGGGAAGCAGCGGGGGGAGAAGCGGGGGGAGCAGTGGGGGGAGCAGCGGGGGGAATTGAGTTGGTGAATGGCAGAGGAAGCTCGTGGGCGGAGATGCTGCGCAGCTGGGACGCGAGCAACAGCAGTGCGTGTGCGTGGTACGGCGTGGGATGCACAGCAGACGGACACGTGGACACCCTGCACCTGATAGGCAACACTTTCGTCTCCTCGCACACCAACTACGTCCCGGAATCGCCTGAATGCGAGTACGACCGGTACGGAGACAAGGTATGCGCGCACGACGTTCCGCCGCCTCCCCCCCGAGTGCGCTTCTTCCTGCAGGGCCTCCCGGGCAGCAGCTCGAACAGCAGTGGGAGTGTGAGTGCGAGTGGGAGTCTGTCGGAGGCGGTGGGGCAGCTGACGCAGCTCACCTCTCTACGCATCTCCGGACACGCCCTCTCCGGCGGCCTGCCGTCGTCCCTCTCACGCCTCTCTCACCTCGTCGCTCTTGACCTCTCCTCCAACCGCCACCTCTCCGGCTCCATCCCCCCCGCCCTCTTCGCCCTCCCCTCGCTGCGAGAGCTCTCCCTCCGTGGGAACAACCTCACGGGAGAGGTCCTCCCATCCACCACTGCAGCAGCAGCAGAAGTAGCGGCGCTGTCACCGAGATTGGAGAGTCTAGACGAGGGGGCGAACGCTCTCTCGGGGTCCATTCCAGCTGACGTGGGTCTTCTGACGGGGCTGACGCGCCTGGCGCTGGACCACAACCGGCTGGATGGCAGCTTGCCAAGGGAGCTCGGCGCGCTCTGGATGCTCACACACCTGCAGCTGCAGGGGAACGCCCTCCAGGGGGACGTCTCTGCACTCGCTGCCGCCTTCCCCCCCCCTGCTGCTGCTGCTGCTGCTGCTGCTGCTGCTGCTGCTGCTGCTGCTGCTGCTGCTGACGCTGCTTCTGCTGCTGCTGCTGCTGCTGCTGCTGACGCTGGCAGTACTGCCGACTCTGCTGCCCCCAGTGCGCCTGTCTTGTGGGGACTCAGCGGGGTGTTCCCGCTGCTGACTCATCTGGATGTCAGCAGCAACCAGCTCTCAGGCGACGCAGCCACGCTCTTCCCTCTCCAGCAATACTTCCACACACTCAACATCTCTCACAACCACCTCACGTGCAGCCCCAGCAATGCCTCCTGGGACGCGTACTGCCTGGACCTCTCACACAACCGCATCAGTGCCCCGCTGCAGGACCTCTTCGGGAAAGAGGACAGCTTCGTTTCGACCATGCTGCGCCTGTCGCACAACCAGCTCTCGGGACCCATCCCTGCCGTGCTCCTGCGAAGAAAAGTGCAAGAAGAGCTGGACCTTTCCCACAACCTGCTCACGGGTTCGATTCCTACCATCACCAATTTATACTCCATGAAGACTCTCAACCTGTCGTACAACCAGCTGTCCGGCACCATTCCCAAGTTAAGTGCCACGCTGATATTATGTGACCTGTCCCACAACCGGCTCACCGGGATAGTCCCACCAGCGCCGCCTGCAATGGAGCACCTGAATGTGAGCTGGAACAAGCTTGACGGGTTTGCCCAATGGCAGTATCAGGCGGGTACTGGGTTGGAGAGTCTGGACGCATCACACAATGCCATGGATGGAAATCTGCCGGATTTGGGCAACAGTGATGGGCTTATGAGCCTGACCTATCTGGACCTCTCCTACAATGCGTTAAGTGGCACTCTTTCAAAGGATACTTACCCATTTTGGGAGCAACCGACAAGCTTTACAGGAAGTGTGAATCGTAGGAGCGGGGTGGAGGTTCGGCTGAGCCACAATAGGCTCACGGGAAGCATCTCTAACTTCATCTTCTCCTCGTCCCCCTCACTGCTCGACCTCTCCCACAACCAGTTCTCTGGCCCCATGCCAGACCCTTTCCAGGGGGACAGCCGGAGCTTGTTTATCGACCTTCTCTCCTACATGGACCTCTCTTCAAACAAGCTCACAGGAAGCATCTCCAATGCTCTTCTCACCGGCCTCACAGCCCTGTCCCACTTGGATCTCTCCGACAACCTGATCTCAGGCTCGCTGCCCAGCTCCCTCGCTGCTCTTCCTCCCCTTACCCACCTGGACCTCTCACGCAACAAGCTCAATGGCTCTCTGCCTGCCTTCTGCCAGGGCAAGCAGCGCCTCGCCTCTCTCCTCCTCTCCTCCAACGCTTTCTCCGGCCCCCTCTCCTCCCTCCTCCCCTCCTCCTCCTCCTCCTCCTGCGCCTCCTCCCTCATCTCTCTAGGCATCTCCAACAACCAGCTCTCCGGCTCACTCCCCGAGTCCCTCTCACGCTTCACCACTCTGCACTCCTTACAAGCTTCGCGCAACAGCATGAGCGGCAGCATCCCTGCAGGGCTGGCGTCGCTGACAGCCCTGCAGGAGCTGGACATGTCATGGAGCGGGCTGTCAGGCACCATCCCTGCCACGCTCCTGCGAGACAAAGTGCAAGGACATCTGGACCTCTCCCACAACCTGCTCACAGGTTCAATTCCTGCCATTGACAATTTATACTCCATGAAGACGCTCGACCTGTCGTACAACCAGCTGTCCGGCACCATTCCCAAGCTGGATGGCTCCCTGATAACATGTGACTTGTCCCACAACCAGCTATCCGGGAAAGTCCCGCCGGCGCCACCTGCATTGATGCATCTGAACGTGAGCTGGAACCAGCTTGACGGGTTTGCCCGGTGGCAGTACCAAGAGGGTACGGGGTTGAGAATTCTGGACGCGTCTCACAATGCCATGGCTGGAAATCTGCCGGATTTGGGCAACAGTGATGGGCTTATGAGCCTGAATCATCTGGACCTCTCCTACAATGCGTTTACTGGCACTCTTGCAGAAAAGACTTACCCGTTCTTGGAGCAAGCGACAAGCTCTACAGGAAGTGTGCAAAGTAGGTGCGGGGTAGTGGTTCGACTGAGCCACAATAGGCTCACTGGAAGCATCCCTACTTTCGTCTTCTCCTCGTGCCCCATACTGATCGACCTCTCACACAACCAGTTCTCTGGCCCCATCCCAGTCCCTCCCCAAGGGAACAGCCAGAGCTTCTCACTCGAGTTTTTCTCCCACTTGGACCTCTCTTCCAACAAGCTCACAGGAAGCATCTCTAATGCTCTTGTCACCGGCCTCACAGCCCTATCCCACTTGGATCTCTCCGACAACCTGCTCTCGGGCTCGCTGCCCCGCTCCCTCGCTGCTGTCCCCCCCCTCACCCATCTGGACCTCTCTCGCAACAAGCTCAAAGGCTCCCTGCCTGCCTTCTGCCAGGGCAAGCAGCGCCTCGCCTCTCTCCTCCTCTCCTCCAACGCTTTCTCCGGCCCCCTCTCCTCCCTCCTCCCCTCCTCCTCCTCCTGCGCCTCCTCCCTGCTCTCCCTCAACGTCTCCACCAACCAGCTCTCCGGCTCGCTCCCCTCGTCCCTCTCGCGCTTCACCGCTCTGCACTCCTTGCTAGCGGCGCGCAATCGCATGAGCGGCAGCATCCCTGCAGGGCTGGCGTCCCTGAAGGCCCTGCAGGAGCTGGACGTGTCGTGGAGCGGGCTGTCAGGCACCATCCCTGCGCTGCTGCGTGCTGCTGCCCCCTCCCTGCAAGTGCACCTCGCTGGCAACGCCCTCTCTGGCTCTGTGCCCCCCTCTCTCTCCGATCTGCCCACCTCCTGCTTCCGCCCCGGCAACCCCAAGCTCTGTGGGAAGCCCCTGCCTGACTGCAAGAAGCGGTCTACTAAGCCCAGGAAGGGCCGGGTGTAGGAGTGGGGAGGCAAGGGGGCTATGCTCTGCTTGTCTGGTTCGGTTGGACTCTAAACGGAACATGCCGTTGGGTTGCACGAATGTCTACAAGAAAAGCTGCTGGAATGTAATGGCACTGATGTACTTCTGAGTGTCATATATAAGTTTTTGTTCGGGTATGTTACTCCACAGACTGACATGGAGATATGTACATATCGGTGTACGAGAACACAAGTTACTAACCAGAAAGTCCCCCTCGCAAACATCTGAAAGAACCGTGTTTGAGGTCCAACAAGCAGGTGATATAGTAGTGGCTGCTGCCTGGTTATACAGAAGTAGACTCAGGATGCAAGGTTCTTGAAATAGTGAAAAACGCAATGGTGATTAGGAGGCTTCGACCAGGTTGCATTTCTTGGAATACAGGATAGGGTAACTCCCAAGCGCCTACCGTAATCACCCGGACATAACACCCGGGGGTATTATGATAACCACAGGGAAAAAAGGGGGGGGGGTCCTCTCAACGGAAAATCCAATATAATACCCGGGTGGTTATATATGGCACTTTTTAGTGTAAGAAAAAAAAATTAATTAGACGATTTGGGTGATTCAATAGTCGTTTTAACATCACAGGTTGAGGCGAGAATTCGAGTTTTGGCGAGAATGTGAGTTTCACCTCTCGGGCCACGTGTAGCAGAAGATTCGCCAGCGTGGCGACAGCGAGATTGTGGAAGGGAGGGAATCTCGGTAGATTCGAAGTGAAAGTGCACGCGAAATTTCATTCAGGAAGCGATTTTCGTCATATCCTCTCGTAAAAAAAACTGACTCGATAACAGCTACAAGAGGGTTTCGTAAGAAAAGGGGGGTGTTATAGAGAATCACCCCAAAAGGGGGGGTATAGTACAAACGAGGTCGGCTATAGCACCCCACCTGCACAAGCTACCCGAGGGTGTACTATTACGGGGGGGTGTTATGTCCGGGTGATTACGGTATTAGTGCCAGCATTGCTCTCAGCCCCATCAGTGCCAGCCAGAGCTGTGCAAAATGTTGGAAACAAACAGTCGTAAGCGCTTCTGTCGTGTCGAAACATCAAGATGTTTGTCGCGCTGTTTCGAAACACCACCGAGTCAATTCTCGGAGGCTGATGTAACCGCTGGAGGTTACGCGAAAGTCAAAGGTCAGCGACCTTTGACATGACAAATGCAGCGCGACAGCAAGGACACACAACTGACTCGCTATTGAGTAGTTGCCTGAGTCGTCACTGTATCGAACCGCAACAGCAAGAACAAAACGGTTGTTAACTGTATCTCTTCGTATTCCTGTACTCTTATAAAAAGCTTGTATCTATTTGCTTTAATCAACTTACTTTGCCCTCACATACCAGAGCAAGGTGGTTCAAGGACTTTAACTCTACCAAAGATCCTAGGGCGTTCAACCCAACATGGTATAAGAGCAGGTTAGAGTTAAATTGCTTCTTCTCAACACTCAATACACCAAGAGATATGTCTACTAGAAAGGAGAGGAGCTCCTCCAACGGCTCTCCCGGTACTACTCCTACTCCACCTCCTGCCTCTGGCCTACAGACAGAGGAAGGGACAACAACGAGACCAGCAGCTGGGTCTACTGAAACTCCCGCAAACCAAGGCATGGGCTTCGATCCAAGCATGATGGAAAATTTTTTCTCCTTCATGTCCTTCTACGAGCAGCATCAACAAGGAGGACCAGCGCAATCACGCAACAACAACAACAACGGAGCAACACCCATGAGTCTTGACGGCTCATCATATGCACGGGGAAACCAGCAACAACAACCTACCTTTGCTCCGTACGAGCGCGGATCCATCAGCTTCATGCCACAGCCACAGCCCTCACCTGGACAAGAAAAACAACTGGACGCACTGCAAGTTCAGTCGCAATTCGCACATGTTCTGAAGATGCAGACATCAAGACCTTTCCACGGAAAGGATTTCTTCATCTGGTCGTTCGAGTTCGAACTGATGATGGAAGGTGCGCAGATACTCGGATTCTGCAACGCGACCCTGCCATATCCAACAAACAGCACACAGTACGAGAAGCAGCAGTACACCTATCAGTCAATGATGGCGTACACGATCCTACTTAGAAACATCACCCCGACTCAACAGCAGAACATAAGGACCAACCGAGGTTACGGTAACTCCGCGGAGCTCGCGTACAATCACCTAAAGAGCCTGTATCAAGCAACAGACAGTGTAAGTCGAAGTCGGTTAATGGCGCAACTGACAACAGTTGAAATGAAACCAGGAGAGAAAGGACTGGCATATATCAGTCGATGTCGCGATTTGTGCGACAAGCTTCTTCGATGCGGAGGGTCGATCTCTGAAGACGCCTTCGTGATAGTCATCATCGACGGCCTCGGTCCTCAATGGCGTGCCACAAAGGCCATCCTCCGAGCTCACGGGAGAATCTCCGAAGCAGCACTCTGCGTCGAAATTCATGCCGAGCAGCAAGACATGGACCTGCAAGAAGAACGACATAAAAAGAAGACGTCAGCACCAGAGTTCGCGTTTCACACCCAGCGACGCTACAACGACAACAACAACAATCGGCAGCAACAACTGAACCCGGTACCTCCGTTTTGCCACATCTGCAAAACTTCGGGGCATCCTCGTACGCACTGCCCAAATCGACAACGACAACTTCGTCCTTCAAGCAGCCAAGTCACTTCAACGCAAGCAAACCCGACAACTTCAGTCCAAGTCTCAACACCTTCAACATGACAACATGCAAAAGAAACAGGAAATATCGTCAGCTGCATGGCAAGACTGAATGACTCCTGCACAACCGAATCACCACCATACTACTAACCAGAAGAACAACTCGACAACAGCATGCCTCGCCGCGAGTCACTTCAACCAAATCCGACGTACGCCGCCATCGCCCAAAGCGAGCCGTCCGGGAAGGACACTTGGTTCTTCGACAGTTGCTGCGGACAAGACATGTGCTCCTCAGGACGTTTCGTTCAACGCGAGCACCAACTCCAACGAGAAGTCGTCATCACCGTCGCCAATAATCAGAACCTGCGCACAAGACGACAAGGCAGAGTTCAACTTCAGTCAAGGGAAACAAACGTCGTACTACAGATGTCAAAAGTACTAATCGCGGAGGGACTCGGCTACAACTTACTGAGCGTCAGCCAACTGATGTCGAAGGGTATTCATCTCGAAGCAGACAGTACCACTCAAGAATTCAAGCTGTACCACGGGAGAGGAGAACTCTACATCGGTAGGGCGATCCTCAAGAACAACGTCTTCGTTCTTGACTTCGTCCCCGATCTTGGCACTGCCGACAGCGACGCCATCGTGAACTTCACCGACTGGACACATCCTCCGGATCTCGACCTCGACTTCAGTCCAGAAGACTTCTAGTATTCACATACCATTACTGAAGCAAAACGAACACGTGCGTTAGTAATAATACAACATCCGGCAGCAACAGAAACAACATCGGCAGCAGCAGAGACAACATCGGCAGCAGCCGAGACAACATCGGCAGCAGCAGAGACAACATCGGCAGCAACAGAAACAACATCGGCAGCAGCCGAGACAACATTGGCAGCAGCAAATACATCGTCAGCAGCAGCAGGTACAACGACACCAGTCCTCGTTGACGAAGCACCACCAACACCCGCACAGCAGCTGAATCCAACTCAACGAGAAGTCCACAGAAGCGCAAACTTCGTCGCCAGCTTCTACTCCAACTCCGATGCGTATCGACGCTCACCCGGACACCGCGCCTTTGAAGACATCTGGCACGCACGCATGGGACACCCAAGCAACACTGTGTTAAACAACACAATAAGAGTAGGAGTCCTTGACAAGGACTCATTACTACTACCCAACGGCAGAGAACTTCAACGGGCACGAGGAACTTGTCTTACCTGCCCCGAAGCCGACTTACCACACCGACTGTTCATTCCTCATCACAACCCGAGCGCACCTGCATACGCACCACTCGAGAAGATGTACAGCGATATCCTTCTCAGAATCCCAACCACTAGACCATTGGGATAAAAGGGCTTGTTTAAGTAGTGGGTCAGTGCACCCATAACCCCCCAGGCAACCGTGCCTGTAACCCTTCCCTAGGATCAATCGGGGATCACCAGTGGACCTCAGACAATCCTCTTCAATCAAGAACCAGGACAAGTTACATACAACTACACGATCACCTTCATCGACGCCGCCAGCCGACACACGGACGGGACTTCACCGAGACATTCGCCCCGGTCAGCCGACATACCTCACTTCGAATTCTCCTCGCGATCGCCGCTATGAAGAAGAAGAAACTACGGCAAATCGATGTCGCCAACGCGTTCCTCTACGCACCCGTCGACGCGGAAATCTTCGTCGAGCTTCCACACGGTACCCACGGGGAACCTAACCAAGTCTGTCAATTGCTAAAATCGCTCTACGGGATCAAGCAAGCCCCTCGACTATGGCAACAGTACCTACATGCTCGACTCACTCGCATCGGATTCCGCCAACTGCATCACGACCAAGGTATGTACCGACTCACAAAAAACGCTGACTACATTATGCTGATCGTCTACGTAGATGACTTACTCTACATCGGCTCTACTGACGACATCACCACCTGGTTCAAGGGGAGCTACAGAGGGACCTCACACTCACGGTCTCCTCTACCGTCACACAGTACCTCGGCTTGAACATTCGGGAGGAAGAGGGCGCGATCTACCTCAACGCCGCTAAGTACGCCGACACCATCGCCAAGCGCTTCGCGCTCACACCTACCACCATCTCTACGCCTTACCGCTACACGACAGGAAACCACAATGAAGGGTCCTCTCTGCTCAAAACCGCCGGGATACGCGACTACCAAAGAAAGTTGGGCTGCCTTCTCTTCGCAGCCGTTACCTGCCGCCCAGATCTATCCTACTCCGCAAGTCAACTCGCCACCTACCTCAAAAGACCCGAAGTAGAACACCTGGCGGAACTCGACCGCGCTCTCCACTACTTCGTAAGCAC